GATTCAGGGTTTAAGGTCTAGGGTTTAGAGTTTAGGGTTTAGGGTTTGGGAGGTAAGGGTTTAGGGTTTGGGAGCGGCTAGCCTAGGGTTTGCGCTGCAGGGTGCCCCTGCCGTCGATGAGCCGCCCAACGCACTCGACAGCTTCAACGTTCAAAGGGTTTAGGGTTTAGGGTTTAGGGTTTAGGGTTTAGGGTTTAGGGTTTATCTCAGTGGCCCGCCGGCCCCTGTGGGTGTGCGGCTCTTCGGGCTGCTGAACTCTGGGCCCTAGGGTTTAGGGTTTAGGGTTTAGGGTTTCTGCATCTCCCGCTCTCCCCAGGGTGCCCGCTGCCTCAAGACTTGAAGAGACACCTTTATTTGAATGGTTTCTCTTCAAACCTAGGGTTTAGGGTTTAGGGTTTAGGGTTTAGGGATTGAGCCGTAGGGAGTAAGAGGTCTACCCGCGAGGCCAAAACAGAAAAAAAGAAAACTTGGAGGTAAATAGATATTAAATAAAAAGCTTTTAGGCTGTCTTTGGCTTTTTTAAATTCAGAGCGAGAGCATGGGGTGTACATACACCTGGCTGCAGCAGCTGTACGTACACCCCAATGCCCGCTGCCTGGCCGCAGCGCCGCGAGGCCCGTTCGGCCCTCTGGAGGCCCCAAAAGACATATTATGAAAGCTAATTTAAAAACAAATTTAAATATTTATTTGAAATTGCCTTTAAAAGGATGTTTCAGCTTGCCATTAAGGCGGCAGTGGCCGAAGGCCATTGGTCCGCGCGTCGGCTGCGGCCGCGAGCCGGGCGGCGCCGGCTGCGGGATCTGGCGGTTATTTTTTGCGTTAAAGTCGAATTTAATTCTTTTGAATTAAAACATTTAATTTTAAAAGTAATTTGAAGTCCAAATTGTGGAATTTCAGCCGCGGGAGAGCCCGCCGCCAGACTAGCCGCAGTGGCGCGAGGCTCTGTTTCCCACGGCAGCCGCCGCTTCTGCGGCTGCCGCAGCGCCCAAAAGAGCTCTTTTTGTCCTTAAAAAGCACTTTTTTCTGTTTTATTTCAAAAATAAAATCCAATTAAAGTCTTTTTTGTGCATTTTGGCGCGTTTTGGCGGTCGAGGCGCCCCGGCAGCTGCTGCGGAGCCCCGTGGGCAAGCCAAGAGGCCTCGCCGCAGCTGCAGCAGAACCTGCTGCTTCTTTTCTGCATTTGTTTGTTTTATTTTCAATTTGAAATAATAAAACCGAATTGGAAAAGAAAAAGAACTTCTTAATTGTTCATCTTTCGCGAGAGACAGCGAGAACGGCGTCGCTGCAGCCTTCCTGCTGCTGCGCGTGTCCCCTGTTGCTGCTGCAGCTGCTGCTGCTGCTGCTGCTGCTGCTGCTGCTGCCTTCGCGCCTTTGTCTCTTTCTTCTTCGCGGCTCAGCTGTCTGTACACCCCAAAAGAGGCCCCTGGGGCTCTTCTGCGGCGGCGGTCTGAGGGCCCCAGCGCCTGCGCTGCTGCTGTTGCTGCTGCAGCTGCCGCTGCAGCAGCAGCAGCAGCAGCAGCAGCAGCTGCTGCTGCCCTTTGCTTCTCTCCAGCCTAGCTGCTGCAGCAATGAGGCCCCGCCTCCCCCCGCCGGCCCTGCGGCTGCTGCTTCCTGTCTTTGTCTCTTTTCTCTTTTCGCATTTCGCCAGCAGCATTTCCCCCCCAGTTGGCCTGCAGAGTTTCCGGGGGCCCCCGGGGGGCCCCCCTCTGGGGGCCCCCCAGGGGGCCCCCCTGGGGGCCCCCCAGGGGGCCCCCCTAGGGGCCCCCCTGGGGGCCCCCCCGGGGGCCCCCCAGGGGGCCCCTGGTGCTGGTTTGGACCTTGAGGCTTTCTTAGAAACTGACGAAGGAGAACTTGCTGCACTAAACCCTCCCTTGGCTTTTGCTGAAGTCACCGAGCCCGCGACTGAGAGCCAGAGCCTCCTGCTGCTGCAGCAGCAGCAGCAGCAGCAGCAGCAGCAGCAGCAGCAGCAGCAGCAGCAGCAGCAGGAGGAAGAGTCTGAGGAGCTTCCTGTGTCCTTGCGTCAGCGGCTCTCAGCTGCTTCCGCCCTGCACCCCGACGGGGGGCCCCCCGGGGGCCCCTCCCCCGCAGAAGCCCCCCTGGGGGCCCCCCCAGGGGCCCCGCAGGGATCCCCCCAGGGGGCCCCCCGGGGGCCCCCCGCGGCGGGGTCCCCCCCTTCGGGGGCCCCCCAGGGGGCCCCCCGGGGTGCCCCCCTAGGGGCCCCCGAGGGGGGGGCCCCCCTGGGGGCCCCCGAGGGGGGGGCCCCCCAGGGGCCCCCCGAGGGGGGGGCCCCCCAGGGGGCCCCCCAGGGGGCCCCCGAGGGGGGGGCCCCCCAGGGGGCCCCCCTGGGGGCCCCCGAGGGGGGGCCCCCCTCGGCGCTGCAGGTGAGCAGCAAAGCGCAGGGCATTCTGGCTGGGATCGGGAGCGCTTTGCTGGGAAGTGCAGCAGGAACTTTGATGGGGGGGGCGCAGCAAGCTTTATCAGGACCTTTTGCATTAAATACTCCTCAGACGAACTTGACAGCAAACTTAGCTGCTGCTGCTCCTGCTGCTGCTGCTGCTCCTGCTGCTGCAGTGCCTGCGGCTGCTGCTGCAGCGCCTGCGGCTGCTGCGGCGCCTGCTGCTGCTGCAGCGCCTGCTGCTGCAGCAACGCAGCTGCTGCCAGCAGGCACTCTTCTTGCTGCTGCTGCTGCTGCTCCCGAAGACAGCAGCCACAACGTCACAGGAATTGTCATTGGACTTATTTTGGGACTTTTCGCTCTTTGCCTCGTCGGCGGCTGCGTCTGGAAAATGACCCGCAGGAAAAAACGACGCTGACCTGCTGCTGCTGCTGCTGCTGCTGCTGCTGCTGCTGCTGCTGCTGCAGCGGCAGCAGTGCGCTGCAGGAGGCGCTGCAGCAGCTGCGGCAGGTGCAGCGGCTGCAGCAGGTGCAGCAGCTGTGCAGCAGCTGCGGGAGCCGCTGCTGCAGCAGCTGCTGTACGGTGCAGCAGCTGCTGCAGCAGCTGCTGTACGGTGCAGCAGCTGCTGCAGCAGCGCAGAATGGTACAGCAGCGCGAGGAGGGGCTGCTGCAGCACTGCTGCTGCAGCACTTCTGCTGCAGCACTGCTGCTGCAGCACTGCTGCTGCAGCACTTCTGCTGCAGCACTGCTGCTGCAGCAGGCTGTCTTCGCGTCTCGTTTCTAAGCGAAAGAGACACCGCAGCAGAAACACTGCAGCAGCAGAAACACTGCAGCAGCAGAAACACTGCAGCAGCAGAAACACTGCAGCAGCAGAGTAGCCCCAGCTGCTGCTGCAGTAAACACTGTGGCCTAGTCGGCAGCAGCCAGCACGTGCACTGTGCTGCTGCTGCTGCTGCTGCTGCTGCTGCTGGCTGAGGGCCCCAAAGGCCCAGCAGCAGCAAGCAGGCAGCAGAATTTATCTCTTAATTGATTTAGTTCTGAAGAATTTATTTAACAATTTAAATTTAACTGTTGGCTAGCTGCTGCTGTGCTGCAGTCGGTGTTTTGCTGCTGCTGCTGCGTGCTGCTGTCTGTACATACACCCCAGCTGTGCTGCTGCTTCTTTCGCCTCTTTTGCCTTTCTTTAAACGCCACTTTTCTTCTTTTTTCTTTTTCTTTTCTTTTCTTTTTCTTTTTGTTAATTGTTGAAGACTTTAGGCCTCCTTTTCCCTCAAAAAAGGGCCTCGGGGCCTTCAATTTGCTGCAGCATTTGCGCAGCTTCTGCAGCACAGCGCTGCGGTGTACGTACACCTGAACTGCGCGGCGACGGCGCTGCTGCTGCGCCTCTGGAGGCCGCAGCAGCAAAGCAGCAGCAAAGCAGCAGCAACGCAGCAGCAAAGCAGCAGCGAGGCAGCAGCAGCAGCAGCAGCAGCAGCAGCAGACACGGATGCATGCGTCTCCGTTTGCTTCTTTAAGTTTGAAAATGAAAAGAAGAAAAGGAGGAAAATGAGGGCTGCGGTTTGAGGTGTACAGACACCGCAAGCCTTCTGCAGACAGCCGCCGGGGCCCCACGGCAGCCGCTGCGGCGGCGGAGGCAACTGGCGGGTAATTTATTGATTTTTTGTTTTTAAATGGAATTAAAAGTAATTTTTAATTAAATAAAAAAGAAATTTGCGAAAAAAAAGAAAAAAAAACGGCTGAAGGCGCGGCGGCGCGGCGGGGCTTCCTCCTGCCTTCCACTGGGGGCTCGGGTGTACGTACACTGCAGCGGCTCCGAGACACTGAAAAGAAACCCCGGCCCACTTCCGCGAATGCTGCTTCTTAGCTAGAGTCTTGCGCGGCCTCCTCCTGCGACAGCAGCAGAAGCAGCAGCAGCAGCAGCAGCAGCAGCAGCAGCAGCAGCAGCAAGAGCCGCGAGGCATCCGCGCCACCCAAGCACACTGCCCGCAGCAGCAAAAACCTTCTCTTTCTTTGCTTTTTATCAAATGAAGACTTTACTAAACTCTTCTCTCCAGAAGCCCCTTAAACGAGACGCCCTCACGGGGGGCCCCCCGGGGGCCCCCCTGGAGGGGCCCCCCGGCGGGCCTTCTGGGGGGGCCCCCCAAGAGGGGCCCCCCGGGGGGCCCCTGGGGGGCCCCCCGGGGGGGCCCCCTGGGGGTGGCCCCGAGGCTGCCAGCCCCAGCAGCGCCAGGAAACGCCCCGAAGGTTCCCTCGCAGCAGCAGCAGCTGATGCAGCAGCAGCAGCAGCAGCAGCAGAGCCAGCAGCAGCAGACGCAGCAGCAGCAGCAGCTGCAGCGGAGACGGGGGCTGCTGCCGCCAGTACAGACTCCGCAGCAGCGGCGCTGGCAGTGCGCCCAGCCGATCCGCCAGAGCCCCGGTCTGCTGCTGCTGCTGCTGCTGCTGCTGCTGCTGCTGAAGCAGCAGCAGCAGCACCGTCAGCAGCAGCAGCAGCAGCAGGCGGTGTGTCTCCCGGGCCAGCGCCGCAGCCACTCGCCTGCCTGCCCGCGTCTTCGCCGTCTCCCTTTGCTGCTGCTGCTGCAGCAACAGCAGCAGCAACAGCAGCAGCAGCAGCAGCTGCTGCAGCTTCGGGTGTACGTACACCGGAGGCCCCGTCCTGCCCCGTGTTCCCAGGGGGAGAAGGCCCCAAGGAAGCAGCAGCAGCAGCAGCAGCAGCAGCAGCAGCAGCAGCAACTTACCAAAACACAACAACCCCACCTTTGCTGCCGCTGGGCATCTGTGGGGCCCTGGGCCACCCGCAGCCGCAGTGGAATCCCCACGCGAGGCCTGTGCCCACAGTGCTGTGGCCGGAGCAGCAGCAGCAGCAGCAGCAGCAGCAGCTGCTGCTGCAGCAGTCCCTGCAGCAGCAGCAGAACGGCTTCCTCTCTGCTGCTGCTGCTGCTGCTGCTGCTAGGCAAATGGGCGCAGCAGAATTCAGGGCCATTAGTAAGACAGAGCCCCACACCCACCAACCGCTGCCGCCTGCACCTTTTCCCAGCAGCAGCAGCAGCAGCAGCAGCAGCAGCAGCAGCAGCGGCAGCAGCAGCAGCAGCAGCAGCGGCATGGTGTCGCTGCCGCTTGGCGCAGCAACTCCCTTTCCTTCCCTCACTAGCTGCAGCGGCGACGAGCCAGCAGGAGAATCCACAGCAACAGCAGCAGCAGCAGCAGCTGCTGCTGCTGCTGCAGCAGAGCAGCAACCTGTTCTTTCAGGGGCAGTGACGAAACACCTGCAGCCAGCTGCTGCTGCTGCTGCTGCAGACGCGCCTTCGTTTTGGATGCCTGCGGAGTTGTGGAAGGAAAAGCTGCTTCCTGCTGCAGCTGCTGCTCTGCTTGCTGCTGAGACACGGCCACCTGCTGCTGCTGCTGCTGCTGCTGCTGCTGCTGCTGCTGCTGCTGCTGCTGAGGATCCCTCTCGCTGCACGCAGTCGCCGAGGTCCGGAGCAGCAGCAGCAGGGGCAGCGGAAGACGCAGCAGCACCAGCAGGAGCAGCAGCAGGCGCTGCAGCAGGCGCAGCAGCAGCAGCAGCAGCGCCAGCAGCAGCAGCAGCAGCAGCAGCGCCTGCTGCTGCTGCTGCTGCTGCTGCTGAGGAGGAGCCGGTGGGTGGCTGCCACATGACGCCGCTGTTCTCGCAGCGGCAGCTGAGCTGCAGCATCGAGACGGTGTGGGGCCCGCGGTTCGCAGCAGCAGCAGCAGCAGCAGCAGCAGCAGCAGCAGCAGGAGCGCCCTGCTGGCGGCTGCACCTGCATGCAGGCCTCTGCGGGCTCGTGCTGGGGGGCCGCGGCTTCTTAAGAGTTGTTGAAGGAGAAAGGGAGCAGCAAGTGCTGCTGCAGCAAGGCTCTGTCTTCAGCATTCCCCCCCTAGTCCCTCACTTGTTTGCTGCTGCTGCTGCTACTCCCCTCGTCCTCTTCCTCGCCTACGCGCCCCCCCTCGGCCTCAACGCAGCAGCAGCAAGCAGCAGCAGCAGCAGCAGCAGCAGCAGCAGCAGCAGCAGCAGCAGCGGCGGCGGCAGCGGGGGCGGCGCGGCGGCTGCGGCGGGCTCCCCGCGCAGCTGCAGCAGCGCCTACGGCCCGCACCTCGGCGCCCAGCAGCAGCAGCAGCAGCAGCAGCAGCAGCAGCAGCAGCAGCAGCAGCAGCAGCAGCAGCAGCAGTTTCTGCAGCAGTTCGAGCAGGGGAACTGGCAGCTGCACCTCAGTGGGGCAAGCGCTGCAGCAGCTGCTGCTGCTGCTGCTTCAGCAGCAGCAGCAGCAGCAGCAGACAGACACGAACCCCCCCACCGCCGCATGCAACGGGGAGACCCCTGGGCCTTTGAAGAGGCGGGGGGCCCCCCTTAATAAGACCCAGTGAAGCCGGGGGGCCCCCTTTGGGGGCCCCCTTTAGGGGCCCCCTTTGGGGGCCCCCTTTAGGGGCCCCCTTTGGGGGCCCCCTTTAGGGGCCCCCTTTGGGGGCCCCCAAAGGGGGCCCCCAAAGGGACTTTCCGGGGAGCCCCCCGACGGGGGCCCCCAAGGGGGCCCCCTTTAGGGGCCCTCTTGGGGGCCCATTTCGGGGCCTTCTTAAGGGGCCCCCTTTAGGGGCGTTTTGTAGGGGCCCCCATAAGGGGCCTTCTTAGGGGGGCCCCCTTTAGGGGCGTTTTGTAGGGGCCCCCCTTCAGGGGCCCCACAGGGGGCCCCCTCGAGGGGCCCCACAGGGGCCCCCTCGAGGGGCCCCACAGGGGCCCCCTCTAGGGGCCCCACGGAGGCCCCCTCTAGGGGCCCCACAGGGGCCCCCTCTAAGGGCCCCCTGTGGGGTACTTGTGAGGGAGGCCCCTTCTAGTGTATTTGGGGGTCACCGGGGGCCCCCTAGAGCCTCCTGGGGGCCCCTAGGGGGGCCCCCGTGCTGCCCCGAAAGGCCCCATGGGGGCCCCCTGAGAGGGGCTTAAAGGGGCCCCCCAGGTCCTCTAAAGAGGGGCCCTTAAGGGGGGCCCCCCGGGGCCCTTCCGCCTCAGGGAGCCCCCTGTGGGGCCCCCTGTGGGGCCCCTAGCTGAGCTCCGTTGGGGGGCCTCCGGGGGCCCTGGGGGCCCCCGGGGGCCCCTAAAGGTCCGTGAAGGGCCCCCAGGGGGCCCCTTAAAGCAGCTTCGGGGGCCTCTAAAGGGGTTCTTTAGGGGGCCCCCTGGGGGCTCCTTAGGGGGCCTTCGAGGCCTCCGGGGGGCCCCCTGGGGCCCCCACCTAGAAGCGCTTGGGGGGCCCCTTGGGGGCACTTCGGGGTTTCCCTGGTGGCCTTTGGGGCCCCCAAGGGGGGCCCCCTGGCAAGGGCTCTGGGGCCTCCCTTGGGGGCCCCCCGGGGGGCCCCTAGGGGCCCCCCGGGGGCCCCTGGGGGCCCCTTTGTGGGGCGATTGGTTGGGTTAAAAGTTTTTGTTGGTTTTGGGTTTTTGTTTGCTGGATGCATTTAAAGAGAAGAGAAAGGCGAGATGGATTTCAACTTATTTGTTTTGTTTCTGTTTTGTCTCTTTTTGCTGCTGCTTTGGCTGTCTTTGCTGCTGCGGGGCCCCGGGAGCTGCAGCAGCAGCAGCAGCAGCAGCAGCAGCAGCAGGTGGGGCGGCGCAGCAGCTGGGGTGTACGTACAGCTCGAGCTCGCAGCCACAGAGTCGCTTTTCTTTTCTTCTTTCATTTACAAAGTTTTACAAAGAAAAACTTGTGAACAAGTTGTGGCTTTTCTTCAGCAGCCAGCGGGTGCTGCGGTGTACGTACACCCCGCGCTGCTGCTGCTGCAGCTGAGGTGTACGTACACCCCACGGGCGGTGGGGTGTACGTACACCTCAGAAGCGCCGCGGACGCGCAGCTCCGGATTTTTCAACAAGTTGGAAATTAGATTAAAGCGAGGTTGTCAAAAGTTACAAAAAAGGGTTTTGTTCTTCTTTTTATTTTTGTATTCTGCTGCCACAAAGTGCAGCAACTGGCTGCTGCTGTCTGTACACCCCAGCCCCCAGCGGAGCCTTCTTCTAGAAAGGGGCGCCTCTGAGCTGCAGCTAGCTAGCTAGCTAGCTAGCTAGCTAGCTAGCTAGCTGGCCACTTGCTAGTGAGCTGGCTAGCCACTGGCTAGCTAGCTATTTAGCCGCTGGATAGCTGGCTAGTTAGTCACGGGCTAGCTACTGGCTAGCCACTGGCGTGCCTCTAAGCTGCAACTAGCCAGCTAGCTAGCCAGCAGCTAGCTAGCTAGTCAGCCACTGGCTAGCTAGCTAGCTAGCCAGCAGCCAGCTAGCTAGTCAGCCACTGGCTAGCTAGCTAGCTAGCCAGCAGCTAGCTAGCCTGCTAGCCAGCAGCTAGCTAGGCCTTCTGTTCGTCAGCAAAGGCTGGGGCCGCATGCGGGTCTCAAGTGCGGTGTACAGACACCTGAGTTTCCCTGAAAGGAGTTCGCGCAGCCGCTCGTTTCGGGTGTATGTACACCTCAGCGGCCTGCTGGTGAGTCGGAGGAGTTAAAAAGAAAATTTGAATTTTTGATTTCAATGAAATGAAGAGAAATTGAACAAGACAGAGCAGGTCACTGGTTTGCTGCGCTGCAGCAGCTGGCGTTTGGGGGTAAAAAGGGTCAAAATGAAGGCAATTAATGACTAATTTTATAAAATTAAAAATTAATTTTATAAAATTAATTAAAATTAATTTAAATAAATCAAAATTAGTCAAAATTACTCAAATTCAAACCCCAAAGGGCCCCGGGGCTGTGCCGCAGAGAGCCGCAGCAGATGGGGGGCCCCCCGCCGCGTTGGGGGCCCCCCGCCTGGTGTCTGTTTGGGTTTTCTTTTGGAGTTTTTAATTTCAAAAAGACAAAAAAGGAATTAAAACATTATTTAAGGCTTTTGTTTCGTTTTCCTGGCTGCTGCTGCTGCTGCTGCTGCTGCTGTTGCTGCTGCTGCTGCGGCTGCGGCTGCCTGGCGTCGCCTCAGCAGCTGCAGCAGCTGCGCCCGAATTAACCGCCAAAAACCAACACTTTGAGTTATTTTTCACTTTTAAATGAAGAGAAAATCCATTTTTAACTTTTAAATGAAGTGAGAATCTCAAAAAGTCGAAAGGAGGGCAAAATCGGCGCTGGTCTGAGGTGTACAGACACCTCGGGCGCCCGCGCGAGGCCGCGCCCCCGGCCTTCAACTCCACCACTTCTTTTCTTTCTTTTTTTTTCTTTTTTCCTTTTTTAAATTCTAATATTCAAAATTAAGCAGCAGCAGCAGCTAATTTTCTCCAAAAGAAGCTCTCTGGGCCTCCAAACTCTCCAAATCCTGCACAGGCGGCTCACTTCTCACTTCTTTGCTGCTGCTGCTGTTTCCCCTTTGCTTGCTGCTGCTTGTTTGCAGCTGCTCATTTCCCGCTGCGGCTGCTGCCGGTTCTCTGCTGCTGCTGCTGCAGCAGCAGCAGCAGCAGCTGCTGCTGCTGCAGCTTCCGCTGTTGCTGCAGCTCGTGGCCCTCGTTTTCTTCTCCTGCTGCAGCAAGCTGGCTTCTTGACTGCTGCAGAGCTTCTGCTGCTTCTTAAATGCTTCAAATTGAATTCTTCCAAGTCCGATTTGCTGCAGCAGCACTTCAGAAGCAAATAAAAAAATAAAAATTCTTTTTTCTTTTTTTAATTTCCAATTCATTTCTTTTTTCTTTTTTTAATTTCCAATTCATTTCATTTAATTCATTTCTTCCCTTTCCCGCCCCCGCCAGGCCGCCGCCGTCCCCGCAATGTCCGCAGCAGCAGCAGCAGCAGCAGCAGCAGCAGCAGCAGCAGCAGCAGCAGCAGCGGGCAGCAGCGCGGAGAGCCTGCGGGGGCTGCGCCGCAGCGGCGCGGTGTACGTCTGCTGCCCCGGCCGGGTGTACGTACAGTGGCAGCAGCGCTGGCTGCTGCTGGATGGCTTTTTGCTGAAGTGCTTCAGCAGCAGCAGCTCCCTCAAACCCAAAACTTCCATTCCCCTCGAGTCTGCTGCTGTCGAGGGTCCGCTGCTGCTGCTGCTGCTGCTGCTGCAGTTGTGCTGCTGCTGCAGCAGTTGTGCTGCTGCTGCTGCTGTAGTTGTGCTGCTGCTGCTGCTGCAGTTGTGCTGCTGCTGCTGCTGCTGCAGTTGTGCTGCTGCTGCTGCTGCAGTTGTGCTGCTGCTGCTGCTGCAGTTGTGCTGCTGCTGCTGCTGCAGTTGTGCTGCTGCTGCTGCTGTAATTGTGCTGCTGCTGCTGCTGCAGTTGTGCTGCTGCTGCTGCTGCAGTTGTGCTGCTGCTGCTGCTGTAGTTGTGCTGCTGCTGCTGCTGCAGTTGTGCTGCTGCTGCAGTTGCTGCTGCTGCTGCAGTTGCTGCTGCTGGTGCTGCTGCAGCTGGTGGCGGTGATGGTGGTGGCGCTGCTGCTGCTTCTGCTCTTGCTGCAGCTGCTGCTCCTGTTGCTGCTGCTGCTGCTGCTGCTGCTGCTGCGTTCAGGCTTATTTTCTGCTGAGGACAACTTGAGCCACAGCGGCGTGGAGCTCTACAGCTTCTGCGTTCGCTGGCAGCCGCAGGCAGCAGCAGCAGCAGCAGCAGCAGCAGCAGCAGCAGCAGCAGCAGAGGGAGAGGGGGAGGAGCGCGACTGGCTGCTGCTGCACGTGGGACTTGAGAGCAAAGAGGAGGCCCAGAAATGGTGCGTCTCTTGCTGCTGATGTTGCTGCAGCAGCAGCTGCTGCTGTTGCTGCTGCTGCTGCAGCCGTTGCTGCTGCCGCTGCTGCTCTTGTTGCTGCTGTTGCTGCTGCTCTTTGTCTTTACATTTTATCTCCCTTTGCTGCTGCTGCTGGTTTGGTGCTGTTGCTGCTGCTGTTCTTCGCCTGGCCGCTGTGTCTCTTCCTGCTGCTGCTGCTGCTGCTGCTGCTGCTGCTGCTCTTCGCAGCAGCTGCTGCTGCCCTTCCATTTGCTTTGCTTTTCCCCCTTCTCTTTCAAGACCATCTCCCGTGACAACTCATTTAATAATTAATTAATTAATTAATTATTTATTTATTTATTTATTTATTTATTTATTTATTTATTTATTTATTTATTTATTTAGGCTGGCAGCAATTCTTGCTGCAGTGTCGGCCTGCAGCACGAAACCTCCCCCAGTAGATTTGCCCCACAATTTGCTGCCGCTGCCGCAGCAGCCGCTGCCGCTGCTGCTGCTGCTCAATGGCACGCAGCCCCCAGCAGCAGCAGCAGCAGCAGCAGCAGCAGCAGCAGCGGGGAGTGGGGGCGGCGAGGCAGCAGCAGCAGCAGCAGCAGCAGCAGCAGCAGCGGGGGAGGAGAAGCCGCTGCTGCCGGGCAGCGCGCCGTTTCAGGTGTACGTACACCCCAATCAGTGGAGAGCAGCAAACCCTCGTTCTCTCAAATTTCCATTTCCTCTCAAAAGAATTATTTCGCAACTTTTGAGGGACTTTCAAGACTTAAAAACAAACTCCAGGTGCCCCAGGGTCTAGGGTTTAGGGTTTAGGGTTTAGGGTTTAGGGTTTAGGGTTTAGGGTTTAGGGTTTAGGGGCTGGGCACTGGGAATTAAATGCAGAGCTCTCGAGCTTCAGGCAGCAGACCCCCCGTCGTGCTGAAGCTGCTGCTGCTGCTGCTGCTGCTGCTGCTGCTGCTGCTGCTGCTCTGTAGGGACTGGCAGCAAATCCACTGCAGCAACTTGGGCTGCTTCTGGCGGGACTTGAGGGGCCCCTCACGTTTTGCTGCTCAGACACAAGTGGACGCGCCACAGGTAACCTCGAGGGTTTAGGGTTTAGGGTTTAGGGTTTAGGGTTTAGGGTTTGCAAGAGGCGACTCTTAATTAGTTTTGCGCTGCTGCTGCTGCTGCTGCTGCTGCAGGAAGTGGTGGCTCGTCTGCTGATGTGTCCGGAGTGTCTGTACAGCCCGTGGGGCACAGCAGTGTGCAGCGAGCAGCAGCAGCAGCAGCAGCAGCAGCTGCAGCAGCTGCTGCTGCCGCTCTCTCTGGGCCAGTGGCGGCTGCTGGAGCCTCTTGACGCAGCAGCTCTTGAGGGCGACAGAATTCTAGTTCGGCTGCCTCCCCCGCTGCTGCGGTGGTTTGCTGCTCCTGCTGCAGCAGCTGCTGCAGCAGCTGCAGCAGCACCTGCTGCAGCAGCAGCTGCAGCGGACAGCTCCGCAGCAGCAGCAGCAGCAGCGGAAGCGACTGCAGCAGCTGCTGCAGCAGTTGCTGCAGTTCATGGCGCCCTCGGGGGCCTCCACTTCGCCTCGTGGCTGCTGCTGGCGGCGCCGCTGCTGCTGCTGCTGCTGATTGCTGCTGTGCTGCTGCCGCTGCCTACGCTGGCCATCTGCTGCTGCGCTGCTGCTGCTGCTGCGCTGCTTCTTTCACCTGCAGCAAAGTGCTGCGAGATCGAACTGGTTCGGTCAGGGTTTGCTGGTGAGCGCTAGCAGCAGCAGCGCAGCAGCGGCAGCAGCAGCACAGCAGCAGCAGCAGCAGCAGCAGCAAATCTACTAACTCAAGCAGGAACAATACAGGCAGCAGCAACAGCGGGCACAGCAGCAGTAGCAGCAGCACTACGGCCACCAGTGACAGCAGCAGCTCCCATACTGACAGCAGCAGCAGCAGCAGATGCAGCAGCAGCAGCGGCAGCAGCAGCAGCAGCAGCAGCAGCAGCAGGTTTGGTGTATATGCTGTTTGCAGATGCTGACGGCACTCTGTACATAATTGGGAGCAGCACAGACATCTGCAATGCTGCCGTAGCTCCACGCCCTGCTGCTGCTGCTGCTGCTGCTGCTGCTGCTGCTGCTGCTGCTGCTGGCAGTTCAGAGGCGACAGCACACGGGAAGTCTGCTGCGTCCTTGCTGCCTCAGCCGCTGGCAACAGGGGCCGCAGCAGCAGCGGCAGCAGCAGCAGCAGCAGCAGCAGCAGCAAGGCAGCTTGCTGCTCTCACTTGGGACCTCTTTAGGCGCCGCTGCGTCTCAGTGGCCTCTGTTGGCTGGCAGGTGGGCCGCTTTGCTGCTGCTGTTGCTGCTGCTGCTGTTGCTGCTGCTGCTGCTGCTGCTGCAGCATTTGGTGCTCGTCTTCTACTGTGTCACCTGCTGCGGCTGCTCCCCCTGCTGGCCACACTGCTGCTGCCTGTGCTGCTGCCTGCTGCTGCTGCTGCTGCTGTTCATTAAGCAGTAAGAAACCCTTTTTGTTTCTCTCCAACTTGCGTGGCTCTGTCCCTGTGCTGCTGCTGCTGCTGCTGCTGCTGCTGCTGCTGCTGCTGCTGCTGCTGCTGCAGGTATCTAGGGACAACGCGGACCCGGCAGGGCGGTGTATTGTCACTTGTGTGATTACACTAGCCTCGCCGCAGCAGCAGCAGCGAGAGCCTGCTGCTGCTGCTGCTGCTGCTGCTGGTTCTGCTGCTGCTGCTGCTGGTTCTGCTGCTGCTGCTGAGCGGCTGGCTGCGTCGGCCGTTGCAACGGTGATTGCAGCGGGGCTGCAGCAGCAGGAGCAGCAGGAGGAGCTGGAGCAGCAGCAGCAGCGGCTGCTGCTGCCGCTGCTGCTGCTGACAGCAGCTGCTGCTTCTCCCCAGACCAGTGCTGCCTCAATTGCTGCTCTTTCCTTTTTGTCTCATGTCCTTTTGCTTCCCAAAATTTTAGTTGCTGCTCGCGAAGATAATGCAGCAAATCCGGCGCGTAAGTCCCTAGCTAGCTGGCTAGCTAGCTAGCTAGCTAGCTGGCTGGCTGGTTGCTTAGCTAGCTAGCTAGCTAGCTAGCTAGATAGCTGGTTGCTTAGCTAGCTAGCTAGCTGGCTGGCTAGCTAGCTAGCTAGCTGGCTGGTTGCTTAGCTAGCTAGCTAGCTGGATGGCTAGTTGCTTGCTGGCTGGCTGGAAGGCTAGCTAGCTAGCTAGCTGCTGTACTAGCTAGCTGGATAGCTAGGTACCTGGCTGGCTAGCTATGTAGCTAGCTGGCTAGCTAGCTGGCTAGCCAGCTGGCTAGCTAGCTGGGTTGCTGCTAAGATTCTTCTGCTACAGCAGAAACAGCAGAGGCGGTGCTTTGGGGCAATGGACGCTGTTTGTGCTGCTGCTGCTGCTGCTGCTGCTGCTGTCGTTGCTGCAGCTGCTGCAGCAGCGGACGTCTCTGTGGGGGAAGATTCCCCAGCAGCAAAAGGAGCAGCAACGCGAGCAGCAGCAGCAGCAGCGAACTTCGCAGCAGCAGCAGCAGCGGGCGTGGCCACAGCATCGGGTGCGAGCGCGTCTGCGGCCTGCGACGCAGCAGCAGCAGCAGCAGCAGCAGCAGCAGCAGCAGCAGCAGCAGCAGCCAGCGGCCCCGGCTGGGCCTACTGCAGCGACCTGCAGGGGGTGGTTCTTGGTGGGGTTGCTCTGGGGGACCAGCGAATTCGGCTGTCTTCTTTTCAGAGACTTTTAGCTGCAGAAGATGATGCACTTTCCCCCAAGCAGGCAGCGGCAAGCCACTGCTGCTGCTGCTGCTGCTGCTGCTGCTGCTGCTGCTGCTGCTGCTGCTGCTGGTGTTTGCGCGCTTGTTTCGTTGGCACTGCTGCTTTTTTCGCGCTGCTGCTGCTGGCGTTGCTGCTGGGGCTGCTGCTGCAGTGCTGTTTTAGTGTTGCTGCCGCCACGCACGCTGCTGCTGCTGCTGCGCTGCAGCAGCAGCAGCAGCAGCAGCAGGAACAGCAGCTGATGATGCTGCCGTGTTCCTCCAGTTCCACCGCCACCTCTCACACGCGCTGCTGTTGCTGCTGCTGCTGTTGCTGCTGCTGCTGCTGCTGCTGCTGCTGCTGCTGCAGGTGGTGCAGACCCTGCTGCAGCGGTTTGGGACTTTGGGCGTTAGCCGCGGCGATATAGTTCGCATGCTGCTGCTGAGCAGCAGCTGCAGCGTGAGTGTTTGCTGCTGCTTTTTTTTTCTTATTTCTTCCTCTTGGCGCTCCCAGCTGACCCAGGCAGCAGCCCAAACCCTAAACCCTAAACCCTAAACCCTAAACCCTAGCCACCCATCTGCGTTTTCTGCTGCGTTTTGTGCGTTTGCGTGTTTTACTCTTTAACTGACTGGCCCGCAAATGTCCCTGTGCCTCTTAATTATTTCAGGCATTTGTCTAGGGTTTAGGGTTTAGGGTTTAGGGTTTAGGGTTTAGGGTTTAGGATTAGGGTTTAGTTTCGCGCTGCTTCTGCGTTTGTGAATTTATTGAATAGTTGCGGTTGCGCGTTTGATTTCCTGTTGGCTTTGCGTTGTTTGGTGGATTAAAATGTTTTAAAAGAATAAATTAAATAAATAAATAAATAAATAAATAAATAAATAAATAAATAAATAAATAAATAATTTAAATAAATTAATTTCAATGATTAAATGGAGTGAATCTTTTGCTGCAGGTGGCGGAGGCGGAGAGCCACGTGGAGGCGCTGCTGCGCTGGCGGGCGAAAACGCAAATTCGAAAACTTGAAAAAAGACATGTTTCTGATCAGCTTTCTCGAAGTATTTTGGATTAATTTAATTAATTATTTTATTTATTTGTTTATTTTAATCTTTATTTTCATTTTTCTGCTTTTATTTCTTCTTTTTTCCCTTCTTTTCGACACTTTTTGCCTCTTTTCCGCGAAAAGTTTCCAACACTTTGCAGTTTCTGATCAGCTTTCTCGAAGTATTGTGGATTAATTTAATTAATTATTTCATTTAATTGTTTATTTTATTCTTTATTTTCATTTTTCCTCTTTTATTCTCTGTGTTTTCCCTTCTTTTGCACACTTTTTGCCTCTTTTCCGCGAAAAGTTTCCCACACTTTGCAGTTTCTGATCAGCTTTCTCGAAGTATTTTGGATTAATTTAATTAATTATTTCATTTAATTGTTTAGTTTATTCTTTATTTTCATTTTTTCGCTTTTATTTCCTCTTTTTTCCCTTCTTTTCGGCACTTTTCGCCTCTTTTCCGCGAAAGTTTCCAACACTTTGCAGGTTCTGATCAGCTTTCTCGAAGTGTTTTGGATTGAATTAATTCTTTATTTTATTTAATTCTTTATTTTATTTAATTCTTTATTTTATTATTTATTTTCATTCTATTATTTATTTTCATTTTCTCCTTTTTATTTCCTCTTTTTTCCTCTCTTTTCGATACTTTCAACTCCAAAAACGTTGAAAAAAGACAAGTTTCTGACCAGCTTTCTCGGACTATTTTTGATTGAATTAATTATTTTATTTAATTATTTCATTTGATTATTTTATTTAATTATTTTATTTAATTATTAATTTTATTTCCTCCTTTTCATTTCTGTTTTTCTTTCTTCTTTTTTCTTTTCTTTTCGAAGCTTTTTTCTTCTTTTCTGCAGACTTGCTTTTTATTTCCTTTTAATCTCCTTTTGTTCTCCATTAAATGCCACTTTTATTCCATCTTTATTCCCTTTTATTTCTTTTTTATTTCTTTTTTAATTCTTTTTTATTTCTTTTTATTTCTTTTTTGCTTTTTAGACTGGGGATACATTTATTCGCAAGACAACTTGTCGAGGCCATGTCTGATTCTGCGGCTGTCCAATTTGCTGCCATTTGCTGCAGCAGCAGCAGCAGCAGCTCGCGCGCCGCGCCCCGCTGCAGCAGCAGCAGCAGGGGGCCCCCCCGCCGCCCCAGCAGCAGCAGCAGCAGCAGCAGCAGCAGCAGCAGCAGCAGCAGACTGGCGGCAGTGTTTGCTGTTTTTAATAGAAAGTGGCATAGCAGCAAACCAAAACGAGGGGCAGCAGCTGTGTCTTCTCGTTGATGCTGCTGCTCTTTCTTTTTCTTCTTTGCCGCTGCAGTCCCTCTTCAACTTCTTCGCCCTTTTGGCCCCCCTCTACTCCCACCACCTCGGTGAGAACCAGCCGCTAGCCAGCTAGCTAGCCAGCTAGCTAGCCAGCTAGCTAGCCAGCTAGCTAGCAGCTAGCTAGCCAGCTAGCTAGCCAGCTAGCTAGCAGCTAGCTAGCCAGCTAGCTGGCAGCTAGCTAGCTGGCTAGCTGGCTGGCCAGCTGGCTAGCTGGCCAGCTAGCTGGCTGGCTTGCTGACTAGCTGGCTGCCTGGCTAGCCAGTTGGCTGGTCGGCTGGCTAGCAGGATAGCTAGCTGGTCAGCTGTTCAGCTAGCTAGCTAGCTAGCTAGCCTACTAGCCAACTAGCTGGCGGGCGGGTCAGCTAGCTAGCTAGCTAGCTAGCTAGCCAGCTAGCTGGGCAGCAGCTGCGGGCGTTGTGGCTGCGACTGCTGCGAGAGTGGCTAGTCAGCGCCAGCGACCTGCTGCTGCTTGCTTTTGATTCACTTCATTGGCTCTGTTCGTCCCTTTTTTTGCTGCTGCTGCTGCTGCTGCTGCTGCTGCTGCTGCGGCTGCTGCTGCTGCTGCTGCTGCTGCTGCTGCTGCTGTTTAATTTATTTTTTGTTACTTTTCTTTTCTTTCTTTAGGCCTCGCGGTGGTCGTCAGCTGCGGTGTTAACGCGGCTCTGGTCTGGAAGACCTTAGAGGTAAGTCAACTGACTAGCTAAGTAGCTAGCTAGCTAGCTAGCTATAATAATAGCTAGCTAGCTATAATAATAGCTAGCTAGCTATAATAATAGCAGGCTAGCTAGTTGGGCAGCTAGCTAGATTAATACCTAGCTAGCTGGCTGGCTAGCTAGCTGGCTAGCTAGCTAGCTAGCTAGCTAAATAGCTAGCCAGATTGGCAGTTAGATGGCTAGCTAGCTAGCTAGCTAGCTAGCTAGCTAGCGACAGGGGCTGGCTTTGCATCGTTTCGGAGGCCCAGCGATCTGCCTAGGTAACTATCCAGCTAGCTAAACAGCTAGCTGTACCAACTGCCTAAACAGCTGGCTCTCCAGCTAGCTAGCCGCAGTTTGCTAACTAGCCAGCCAGCTAGCCAGCCAGTGGACCAGCTAGCTAGGCAGCTAGGTGGCCAGCCAGCTAGCCAGCTAGATAGCCAATGAGCCAGTCAACCAGATAGCCAGCTAGCTAGCCAGCTAGATGGCCCAGCTAGATAGCCAGCTAGACAGCCAGCTGCATATCTAGCTAGCTAGCTAGCTAGCCAGCTAGGCACTTAGCTAGCTAGCCAGCTAGCTAGCCAGCTAGCTAGCCAGCTAGCTGTGTGTATGTGCTGTGTGCGCCAGCCGTTCGTGAGCGCTGAGACGCGAAGCAAAATATATTTTCTTCCAAAAGAAAAAGAAAAAGCTGCTGCCTTTCTGCTGCAGTTCTTTAACTGGCGGCTGCTGCCTGCGTGGCTAGCTGAGCGGCTGCAGCTAGCTGAGAAGGCAGCAGCAGAAGAGCAGCAAACAAACTCCCTCACCAGCAGCTAGCAGCTGCAGCAGCAGCTGCAGCAGCTGCTGCAGCAGCTACTGCTGCAGCAGCTTCTGCTGCAGCAAGTGCTGCGGCAGCAGCTGCAGCAGCAAGTGCTGCGGCAGCTACTGCTGCAGCAAATGCTGCGGCAGCATCTGCAGCAGCAAGTGCTGCAGCAGCTACTGCTGCAGCAAGTGCTGCGGCAGCAGCTGCAGCAGCAAACGTTGCTGCTGCCGCTAAAGGCAAGACTCACGCGCTGCGGGCCAGGCCATGCGTCTCAGGGTTTAGGGTTTAGGGTTTAGGGTTTAGGGTTTAGAGTGGGAAATAGCCTCCTGCTTGAAGGCATGGTTCTTTCTACCGGACTTAGGCGCTTTTTTGCGCTAAATGAAAATAAAAATAATAAAATAGTAATTAAATAATAATATAATGATAGTTAAATAATAATAAAAACTAAAATGTCTTCAGGAGAATCTCCGAAACTTTGCATTTCCCATTTCCCATTTTGCCGAACTTGCGGTGTACGTACACCGGGCTGGCCGCGTTTGAATTCAACTTTTGCACTTTTCCTCAAAAAGGGAAATTGAAGTCCATTTTTAATCTTTTTCGAGTTTTAGAAATGCAAAGAAGATTAAAAATGAACTTTAATCAAATAAAATGCAACTTTTGGCAAAAATTGCGTTTCATTTTGTGGAGTTTTCGACCTTCTGAAAAGCAGCTCTGCAGACTTGTGCAAAACTCCCGAAACAAATAAATTAATTTCTTCTTTGGACTCCAATTTGGTATTTTCTTTTCCATTTTTGGTTTGAAATATTATTTTTTATTTATTTCGAAACTTCCGGACTTTCTGCGATCAATTTTGTTCTTTCATCTTTTTAAAACAACTGCCACTAGGCCAGTTTCGAGACTTTCGGATTTGTTTTCCAGCAATTTAATCTGTCTTATTGTTCAAGTTTCTTCAAATTAAATTCTACAATATCAATTAATAATCCATTCAATTCAAAATAAGAAAAAACAGAATTCAATTTCTGACAAATTTGGTCTTATTTCACGGGAATGACCTCGGGTGTATGTACACCTCAACTCGGATGTACATACACCTCAATTACTTATTTGCTTTTTATATTTTCATGCCTTAGTTTACAGATCTGTACAAATTAGTCCACACAAATGTGCTCTTTTCTTTATTTAATACCCACACATACCAATATATATTAATATACACATTTTTATAGGCATAAGTGCATATATATATATATATGTATATATATACATGTATCTATATACATATATATAATATATATATATATACATGTATATGCATAGATATTATACTAATGTGTGTGGATATAATATCCATATATATATATATATCTATATATATATATATATATATATATATATATATATATATATATATATATATATATATATATATATATATATATGTGTATATATATACATATATATGTAGCTATATAGTTATATGTGTACTTATACTTTTACACATAAATATAAATGTATATATACTGTATATTTCATTGTGCATCTATTAGTATATATAATTCATATTTGTGTACACCAAAAGACACATAAATAAATGCAGTAATATATTTATTTATAAACAATAAAATATAAATATAATATTGCATTATTTATTGTGAATAAATAATGCAAAATAGGTACACATATATAATGTGCACTATTATATTTATCTATAAATAATATAAATATATATACTTATTTATATACATAATATCCACTATTAATATTTATATATATATGAGTGAATATTAATTAGATTAAATCCCACAAGTATTTTACACATATATATTTTACCTATATATTATACTTATAAGTAATACTTATATATATATATATATATATATATATATATATATATATATATATATATATAATTTATATAATATTTATATATAATATTTGCATATAGTATTTATATATAATACTTCTGTATAATACTTGTATATAATATTTATATATAGCGCTTACATATAATATATATATATATATATTACATATAAATTATCCTTATATATAATACTTGTTTATAAAATATATATATATATATGTGAATATATATATATATATATGTATTACTAACATATTATACTTGCATATAATACTTATATATAATACTTATATAAAATAATTATATAAAGTACTTATATGACAAAGAGTGCATGCAATTTAAACACTTTAGTAAAAGCTTTTGGACTTCTTTAAAGACAAAAGATCTGACAGCTGCAGCAACGGGAGATAGCGCTGGCGACGCCTGAGAGCTGCTGCTGCTGCTGCTGCTGCTGCTGCTGCTGCTGCTGCTGCTGCTGCTGCTGCTGCTGCAGGATTTTCTACAATCTTGTTGTTGTTTAAAGTCTAAGAGTTTAATTAAAGACTAAATGAATTAGGATTACTCTTATATTCTTTTGCTGCTGCCTCAGCAGCAGCAAAAGAAGTTTGGAGTTGAAATGAGCAGCAGCAGAAATTAAGAAAAGTCTTTTTGTCTTTTGAACAAGCTGCTGAGGTGTACAGACAGCTGGGAGCTGCGCCACGCACTGCAGACGGGAGCAAAAGAAAGAAAATCATTTCTGAAAAGAATAAATAAAAAGTAAATAAATAAATAAATAAATAAATAAATAAATAAATAAATAAATAAATAATAAATGAAAGCATTTACTTCTTTTGCTGCTAAAAAGCCCGCATTTAGCCCTTCTATTGCACCGCTCTGCTGCCCGCACGCCCCACACTTTGTCTTTCAGGGTTTAGGGTTTAGGGTTTAGGGTTTAGGGTTTAGGGTTTAGGGTTTAGGGGTGTTTGGTGGCGTTTTTTAGCTGCTGCTGGGGACTTCACTTGATTTGGGAAAAGAGAGAAAGAGCTGAAGTGGAAAAAGAAGAAAAGAAGAAAAGAAAAAACTGCAGCAGCAGTTGGGTTTGCTGCTGCTGGGGTGTACGTACACCTGAAGGCCGCGGCTGTGGAAAGTTTTGCAAAAAAGTGCACAAAAGAGGAATTAATAAAAGCCTTTTCATTTACTTCAATTTAGACTTTTGCAAGATTTAATTTTCGAGACTTTTGAGCTCTTCAGAGCTTCAGAAAGGAAAAGAAATGAAAGGGAATTAATTTCGGAAGCAGCGAAGTGCGGGCTTGCTGGGGTGTACGTACACCTCAGTTCGGGGCCGTTTCGGGGTTTCTCCGGCTCTTTTTGTTTGCAATAAATGCAATTTATTTATTTTAATTCTTTTACTTTTCTATTTTTCGTTTTTATTGAATTAAACAGGCGTTGGCGCCGTCTCTTCGTTTCGTTTCCCGTCTGTCTGCATGCGTTTGGGGTGTATCGACAGCTGCTGCCTCGCCGCTCTTTGCTGCTGCTGCTGCTGCTGCTGCTGCACATTTGCTGCTTTTGCCTTCGAGTATTTCTGCTGCTGCATTTTGGCAGGGTGCAGCAGGTGTTTCCCGGGCCAGTCTGCTGCTGCCTTCCGCTGCTGCTGCTGCTGCCGCTGCTGCTGCTGCTGCTGCTGCTGCTGCTGCTGCTTCTGCAGCTTGCTGCTTCGAGTCCGGCAAGGCCTCCGCCTGCTGCGAATGGGCCTGGCAGCCTTCGCTAGTTGTTGCTGCTGAGAAGGCAGTGGAGACAGTGCTGCTGGCGACGGGCATTTGCTGCAGCTGCTGCAGCTGCTGCAGCTGCTGCAGCTGCTGCAGCTGCTGCAGCTGCTGCAGCTGCTGCAGCAGCGCCGCGCCGCTCCCCACACACCCCAGCCGCTCCTTCTCCTCTGTACATACACCCGAAGGCCCAAAACGCCCCACACCTACAGAAATGTCACTTTGCACAATTACATCTTTTGCTGCTCTCATTTGTGTCCCTCCGCTGCAGTTTGCTGCTTCTGCTGCAGCGTGGGGCCCCGCAGCAGCAGCAGCAGCAGCAGCTGCTGCTGCTGCGGCCGCGGCAGCCGCTGCAGCAGCTGCCGACGGGTAGCCGCTGCGGCTGCTGTTGCTGTTGCTGCTGCTGTTGCTGCTGTTGCTGCTGCTGCTGCCGCCGGGCCGGGGCAGAAATGGAAAGGAGAGGGACCAGCGTTCCGCATCTGTTTTGCTGCTGTCAGGCTGCTGCTGCTGCTGCTGCTGCTGCTGCAGCTCTGCTGCTGCTGCTGCTGCTTCTCCTGCTGGGTCTCCCCTAGCTGCTTCCACAGGCAGCGACTGCATCCCCACAGTAGTCCTTCCGACGATGGCAGGAGCTGCTGCTGCTGCTGCTGCTACTGCTGCTGCTTGTGCTGCTGCTGCTTGTGCTGCTGCTGCTGCTGCTGCTGCCGCCGTAGGAGCCCACAGCCCCTTTCCCCTGCCCAAGCCCAAAGGCTGCTGAGAATTTATTTGCTGCTGCTGCTGCTGCTGCTGCTGCTGCTGCTCTGCGGTTTTCCATCGGCTGTCTTCTCCAGCAGCAGCTGCTGCTGCTTGTGCTGCTGTTGCTGCTGCTTGGCGATGCTTGGGCTCATTTTTGTAGGCCTTCTTTGCTGCTTCTTTCGGCATTCTGCTGCTGTCTGGCTGCTCTTCGTTGCTGCTGCTGTTGCTGCTGCTGTTGCTGCTGCTGCTGCTGCTGCTGTGCATGTCACGCGTGGCTTTGACTGCCTCTGCCCCTGTAAGAGGCCTTGTTGCAGCTGCCTCATTTGCATTGGCAGCAGCAGCAGCAGCAGCTGCTGCTGCTGCTGCTGCTGCTGCTGCTCTGGGATTTAGCGGGGCGCTGCTGTCAGCAGCAAACAGGAAATCCACCGCTACCTTCCTGTCCGGCCATGCGCTGCTGGGCTCTGCTGCAGCAGCAGCAACGGCTGCTGCTGTTGCTGCTGCTGCTGCTGCTGCTGCAGCTGAGCTGGGCGTCGGCTGGGCCCCCGCCCGGATGCTCTTGGGGCCCTCAGCAAAGTCTTGCATGCGGCATGCAGCAGAAGTCCTCGAAGCAAACGGGAATGCGTGCGGCTCCTGCTGCTGCTGCTGCTGCTGCTGCTGCTGCTGCTGCTGCTGCTGCTGCTGCTGCTGCTGAGCTGCTGCTGCAGCTGCAGCTCTAAGCGCGCCATCCGGGAAGACCGAGGAAGGCTGAGTCTCAACAAACGCTCCAATGACCTGCTGCTGCTGCTGCTGCTGCTGCTGCTGCTGCTGCAGCAGCTTGTCCCTGGGCTTGCCGAGCTGGGCGAGTCCTGGAGCAGCAAGAGCGTGCGCGGCTGCTGTTGGCGCCGGCGCTGCTGCGTACCTGTCTTGCTGCGGCTGCTGCAGCAGCAGCAGCACCTGCTGCTGCTGCTGCTGCTGCTGCTGCTGCTGCTGCTGCAGCAGCCTGGGGAAGAGGAAGGCGTGGACAGTGTGCAGGAATGGGGCTGCATGCGCCATGAGGCATTCGGAAACAGCAAGTCTTCTTTGGACAAGTCCGAGTCTCTTATCTGCTGCTAAGAGAGCCAAGAAGACCAGCAGGCTGCAGGGGCTTTGCGGCTGCTGCAGCGCGAGCAGCTCGGGAGCAGCAGCAGCAGCAGCAACGTAAGACAGCAGCAGCTGCAGCAAAGGAAGCGGCGATGATATAAAGCCCAGCGAATGGACCCAGCCAATGTCGTAGTGCAGCGCCGCCTGCAGCTGCAGCGCCTCGGGGCAGCGCGTCTGCGAAGCAAGCCAAAAATGGAATTAAAACCAATTAAATCCGGATTTTTTCGCAGATTTATCTTTTATTTTAGTTTTAAATTTGTTTTAAATGAATAAATCGCGAAAACAGCAAAAAAAACCAGAAAAAACCAAGCCGAACCAACTTGAATTGGTCTTCCGGTGCAGCAGCAACGGCAGCAGCAGAGTTTCTTGCAGCTCTAACTGCTTTATTTTCAATTCAATTCAATTAAATAATAAATACAATTAAACCCAAAAGCAGCAAAAGCTGAAAAGGAAGAAAAGAAGACGCAGCAGCAAATTGCAAAGACAGAACTTCGCAAATTCGCACACTTCTTGCTGCGGCCTACACCTGCAGCTGCAGCAGCTGCTGCAGTTGCTGCAGCTGCTGCAGCTGCTGCATTGCTGCAGATCTCTTAAACCAACATCTCCTCCTTCAGTGCCCCAACCATCAGCAGCAGCAGCAGCGACGACAGCAACAGCAGCAGCAGCAAAAACAGCAACAGCAGCAGCAGCAAAAACAGCAGCAGCAGCAGCAGCAACAACAATAACAGCAGCAGCAGCAGCAGCAGCACCACCACCACCACTAGCACCGGCACCAGCATCAGCAGCACCAGCAGCAGCAGCAGCAGCAGCAGCAGCACCAGCAGCAGCTGCAGCACCACCAGGATCAGCAAAAGCTGCAACTGCAGCAGCAGCAGCAGCAGCAGCAGCAGCAGCAGCAGCAGCAGCAGCAGAATGACCTCGAGGAAGGCTTTGAAGTCCTGGAGGTACTTTTCAATGTCCTCGGAGTCCCAAAAAAGAGGATGGTGAAGCGCCTGGGCAATGGTGAGTCGCTGTTCAGGTTTGTGCTGCAGCAGCCCGCCCAGGAGGTCGGAAAGCCAGGGGCAATCGGCGAGCTGAGAAGACCAAAACGCCGTTTTTTTTCTCGAATTTAATTCTCTTTTAATTTTAATTGAATTCCTTTTTTATTTTGAGAAAGAATCGCGAAAAAAGCAGCCAAAAAGACCCCAAATCCACCAAGTTTCCACTTTGCAAAAACGCACGAAGTGCAAATTCAAGATGAAATTCAACAAGTCCACAACTCCTCAAAACCCTCAGCTCTTTTCAACTTTTGCTGCAGCAAAATTCTTTATTTTGCATTTTAAAAGTATTTATAAATAATAAATGCTTTTAAATGTTTAATATTTGAACAAAGCAAATATAAATGCATGCATTCAGCAGCAGCACTTTGCCTTTTTCTCGAACTAGTTCTCTCAGTGCTGCAGCAGTTTCTTATTTGCCATTTGAGCTTTAAAGCAGTCCATTATTCAGCAGCAAAAGGGGCAAAGTTGCTGCTGCCTTCTTGTCTGGCGGCTGCTCCTTTTGCTGCTGCTGCTGCTGCTGCTGCTGCTGCTGCTGCTGCTGCTGCTGCTTGCTGCAGCTGGGATCTTGTGCTTCTCCAAACCCCCACCTTGTCGAAGTTGACTTTTTTGTCCGCCAAAATGTTCGAAAGAATCATGGGGTCGTTGGGGCTTCCGTAGGGGTGGAATCCCCCGGAGGCGAAGAAGAACAAAGTGGCGCCTGCAGCAGCAGCAGCAGCAGCAGCAGCAGCAGCAGCAGCGGGAAGGAAAAGAAGCTGATCGGCAGCTGGGAAGGCAGGCTTGTGACCCCTCGTTGGGTTTGTTTCGAGTTGATTAGTTCAAAACAATTATCAAAAAGTAATTTAATTTCGATTTAAAAGAAAAAAAAAAGAAACTCCGCCACTTGCCCATCGACCACGCGTCCGCCCGCCGCAGAAACTCCCCCGGCCACTTGTATCTGCCCGCAATTGCACTGAAGACTTCTTTGCTTCTCTTTTCATCTTTCGAGCTGCTGCAGCGCCAAATTGCCTGCGAGAGTTCTTCGTCTAAGTCCAGCAAAGACCCCAGGAACTCCGGCGCCATCCAGCAGGTTTCCTGCGGCGTGCCCAGGATCTGATCGCAGCAGCAGCAGCAGCAGCAGCAGCAGCAGCAGCAGCAGCAGCAGCAGCAGCAGCAGAGGCTGGGCTGTGAGGGGCGCAGCAGAGCTGCTTGGAAGCGCTCTACGGCAAAATGCAAAGCAGCAGCTGAGCAGTGAAGGCACTTGCTGCCAGCAAAGCACCTTGCAACTCAAAGAGTTCCAAAAACAGCAGCAGCAGCAGCAGCAGCAGCTGCAGCAGCAGCAGCACAGCTCTAGGGGAAGCAATCTTGGGACTCCCCTGCTGCTGGCTAGGAGCCAAAAACAGCAGCACTTGCAGAAGCATCTTTCGCCCTTAAAAAGCAGCCGCTGCACCGCAGGCCCCCCGAGGCTTTAGGCTTTAGGGTTTAGGGTTTAGGGTTTAGGGTTTAGGGTTTGCCCGTACCCACTGCAGCAGCGCCTTCGCGTTCAAAGCCCCCTGCATCCCCGCAGTCAACAAATGCAAAATGCTTAAGTACCGAACTTTGCCCCCGCAGTCTCCCAGTTTTATTTTCCCGCTTTCACTTAACATCACATTTCCCGGATGGATCCTCATGTGGCATCTCCCCACACTTAGGGGGCCCCCCGGGGGCCCCGGGGGGCCCCCAGGGCCGTGGGCTCCGCGGGGGCTCCGGGGGCCCCTGGGGGCCCCCCGGACAGCAGCGCCGGGGGGGCCCCCCCCTGGGGGGCCCCCTGGAAGGACCCCGGGGGGCCCCCCGCGGGGGCCCCGGGGGGGGCCCCCTGGGGGGCCCCCCGGGGGGCCCCCGGGGGCCCCTGGTGAAGCGCGTGGACTGCGCGCAAGAGGCAAAGGAGAAGACCGTTGAGGCCCGTAGAAGGGAAAAGGGAATGGAGGAAAGAAGGGGGGAGGGGCCCCCCTGGAAAAAGGGTCAAGAGGGGCCCCCTGCATCTTTCCAAGACCAGCCACAAAGAAGTACCCTCTTGGGGGGCCCCCGGCAGCAGCAGCGCGCGCCTGCAGCAAACCAGGTGGGGGTCCTGCAGCAGCAGCAGCAGCTCGACCTCCTGCCACAGCTCAGCAGCACGAGCAGCAACAACAACAGGCAGCTGCTTCACTGCAACACTCTCGGGGGGCCCCCGGGGGCCCCCGGGGGCCCCCGGGGGGCCCCCCATCAGTCCTGCAAAGACAAGGACACTGGGGTCATCTCTGCTGCCTCCGAGGGGTTCAGTCCAGTAGCAAACTTCGCTGCTGAGGCACTTCACGCGAAAGTCCGGCCCCCCTGCTGCTGCTGCTGCTGCTGCTGCTGCTGCTGCTGCTGCTGCTGCTGCTGCTGCGGGCGACGGGCCTGCAGCGCGCGGCAGCGCCTGCTGCGGCCCCGACCACACTTCCGTCTGGCCCAGCGACGCACTGACTCCCCTCAGCGGCACTGCGGCCCCCTCTGCTGCTGCTGCTGCTGCTGCTGCTGCTGCTGCTGCTGCTGCTGCTGCTGCTGTTTGCGGCGGCGAAGCCTCCATGGGCGTCCAGCGGGCCGCCTGGCTGACCAGTGGTCTGTTGGGGAGCGGCGCGAAGAAGTCTTGGGGGGGCTCGCCGCCAGCTGCTGCTGCTGCTGCCTTCGAAGCAGCAGCAGCTGCTGCTGCTGCTGCTGCTGCTGCTGGGTCATGCGCCTGCTGCAGCTGAGAAGCCTCAGGGGATTCTGGCAAAGAAGGCCAGGGGTGCGCAGAAGCAGCAGAATGAGTAGAAGCATAAGCACTAATGAATCCGGGGGGCCCCTCTGCGAGGCTGGGGGCCCCCTGCTGCAGCTGCTGCAGCTGCTGCTGCAGCTGCTGCTGCTGCAGCAGCTGCTGCTGCTGCCGCTGCGAGTCCGCCTGCAGCGACGCCGCAGACAAAGCTGCCTTCAAAGAACTCTCGTTGCTGAATTTATTGTTCGTGGCATTGCTGCTGCTTTTGAAGTTGCTGCTGCTGTTGCTGCTGCTGTTGCTGCTGCTGTTGCTGCCCGCGCCTGAAAGCACAGCAGCAGCAGCAGCAAGTGCGCAAACACCCGCAGCAGCAGCAGCAGCAGCAGCAGCAGCAGCAAACAAACGCATGCGCTCAAGTCCTGCTGCAGCAAGGCGAGTTTAAACTTTTAAATGAAGCCGAGCCATAAATGCAAATAAAATAAAATAAAAATAAAATAAAATGAAAATAAAATAAAATGAAAATAAAGTAAAGCGAAAATGAAAAAAAAAGAAATTACAACAAAATGCGAAAATAATAAAATAACTAAATGAATGCAAATTAAATAAAATGGAAATGAAATGGAAATAAAATAAAATGGAAAAAAAATAAAATGAAAATAAAATAAAATAAAAATAAAGTAAAATAAAATAAAACCGGAATTAAATATAACGAAAATAAAATAAAATCAAAATTAAAAAATAAAATCGAAATAAAGCAAAATAAAATAAAATGAAAATAAAACTGCAAAAATAAAAGGGCAAAAGAAGCAGCTCGTGGTGTACAGACACTGCGCAGCAGCAGCTCAGCAGCAGCGCAGCAGCAGCGCAGCAGCAGCGCAGCAGCAGCGCAGCAGCATTACCTGCTGCTGCAGTTCGCTGCGCCTGCAGCAGCAGCACGAGGCGGTCAGCAGTTTGTCTTTGGTTTTTTCTTTCGGAGTTTGCTGCTGCAGCATTATTTTGTCGAAGCGAGGCAGCAGCAGCAAGGCTGCTGCGGCTGCCAGCAGCAGCAGCAGCAGCAGCAGCAGCAGCGCCGCCGCGCTGCCCCAAGTGCCCCCCCTCGCCAGCAGCCCCCGCCTTGGGGGGCCCCCCGGGGGCCCCCTGGGGGCCCCCGGGGGCCCCCGGGGGGCCCCCTGCTGCTCGAGGAGGGTACAGAGGCTGCGGATGTGCTGCAGGAGATCCCTCGGAAAGCACAGAGTGGGGAGTGTGGGAAGAAATGAAGTCCGTGTAGGGCTGGCGAGTGCGGCCTGCTGCTGCTGCTGCTGCTGCTGCTGCTGCTGCTGAGAGGCAGCTGGGGTCCAAAGACAAGTGCAAGTGGCTTTGGTGGGGAACTCCGTCCATAATTGCGAGGAAGCGCGCGCGAAGCCGCGGGTGCGGCCGGTCGGAGGGCTGCAGCAGCAGCAGCAGCAGCAGCAGCAGCAGCAGCAGCAGCAGCAGCAGCAGCAGCAGCAGCCGCAACTTGAAGGGGGCGGAAGCCGGGGAAAGCGGGGAGTATTTGGGAGTAGAAGAAGGAAAAGGCAAGAAAGAAACTAAAAGGCGAAAGGAAGCAGCAGCAGCAGCAGCAGCAGCAGCAGCAGCAGCAGCAGCAGCAGCAGCAGCAGCAGCAGCAGCAGCGGTTACCAAGTAGATATCGGGGCAGAGCGCCTCCTGCGAAGGCGCGCCAGCGAAGACTTGCTGGACTTCTGGAGACTGATCTGAAGGCCTCAATTCACTTTCGGAATGTGCAAAAGGACAATAATAACGATCACACCATCCGTTGTCTTTGAACTGTTTGCAAAGGACCTGCGGCGCACGCAGTTGGGGTGTACGTACACCCCAGGACGCAGCGAGTTGAATTTTCGCGATCTCGCGCGATCCGGGGTCTTTGGAGCTGCGATTTCGAGAATTAGGCAAATAAAAAGATTATTTTTGGTTTTATTTGCTTTTTAAATCCAAAAACAAACAAAAAGACCCCCATTTGAGCCCAGTTCACCGTTTTGTAGATCTTGGGGTGGTACATCTGCTCCTCCTTGGTGTGGGCACACCTGCAGTTCCGCTTTTGCCTGCAACTCGACTTGGCTATTGTCCGGCCTCTTCCATCTTTCACAAACTCCAAATCCCGACAAAGTTCTGGAGAATAAGTATATTTCCAAGGCGGTCTTCGCGTCCACCGGAGGTCGTGGCTGTACTGACACCTGCGGTGTACGTACACCCCGCTTTCCTGCGGTGTACGTACACCCCGCTTTCGTGCGGTGTACGTACACCCCGCGCATGCGCGGTGTACGTACACTGCGCCGCTGCGCATGCGGGCGCGGGCTGTTGGGCTTTGAAGGCGAATTTGAATTGTTTTTAATGAATTTAAATTACTTTTAATGAATTTAAATTACTTTTAATGAATTTAAATCACTTTTAATGAATTTAATTTACTTTTTAATGAATTTAAATTACTTTTAATGAATTTAAATTACTTTTAATGAATTTAAATTACTTTTAATGAATTTAAATTACTTTTAATGAATTTAAATTACTTTTAATTACTTTTTTATTTCTTTTTTAACTCACTTGTCCGCAAACTCGCACCTGCCCTGCTTCACGTAGCGCTCGCAGATCTTCGTGCGGAACTTGTAGAGGTTTTCTTCGTCCAGCACTGGGGGCAGCGCCATTTTGCTGCAGCTTCAGTGCAAAGGCCTGCAGCAGCAGCAGCAGCAGCAGCAGCAGCAGCAGCAGCAGCGGCAGCAGCTGCTGCAGCGGCAGAGACTGCGGCAGCAAGCGGCGCCCCGGGGGAAAACTGCAGCAGACTGAAGGCCGCAAAGGCCACTGACAGCCCCCGAAAGACTCGAGAGAAGCGGGGCAGCTGCAGCAGCAGCAGCAGCAGCAGCAGCAGCAGAGGCGCTGCAGCCGGGGCGGAGAGAGCAGCAAAAGCAGCAAAAAGAAGAAAGAAAGAAACTGTGGGGCCAGCAAACTGCTGCTGCAGCTCCTTGACAAGGGCGGCGACTACCGAGAGAGCCAAACAGCTAAAAGGAGCAGCAAAGAAGGACTTGGGAGAAATAAATAAAAGAATTTGGAAGAAATAAATAAAAGAATTTGGAAAGAATAAAAGAATTGGAAAGAAAAGAAAGAAACTCGCAAGTTTTGCGCTGAAAGACAGACACGGGGAGCGGTCACTCGCCCGCGGAGTGGAGTTGCTGCTGCTGCTGCTGCTGCTGCTGCTGCTGCCCCGCACTGCCTATTGAAGCGGCAAATCATAAATAAAAATGAAATGAAGTTCCAGAAAAACAAAAGGCTAAAGGCTTTCGCAGTGTACATACACCCCAGACACGCAGCGGGTCGCCCGCGCCGGGCGCCACTGACTGGTCAGCTGAGGGCCGGGGGCGGCAGCCCCGTCCTCCGCGGCGGCGTTTTTCGTTTCTGAATTATTTAATTTAATTAATTTGATTTATTTCATCTTTTAATTCAAAAAAATTCGCGAAAACGCCCGCAAACGCGCAGTTCCCGAGCTGCCTAGACACCCCGCGCCGCTCACCGCAGCTCCGCCGCGGTCACTTCGCCCGCGCGGCCCCCCGAAAGCCAATTTCAAAACTATATTTGCAAACAATTGCTTTATTTTATTATTTAATTTATTCTTTTTAATTCAATTTCAATAAAAGTCCGCGGCGGAGCGGCAGATTGGCGGCGGATGGCGCGGGCGGTCATCGATCGCCTGTGGGGTGTCTGTACACCTCGCGAGCACCCCGCCCCAGCCTCTTCTTTGCTCCCATTGTTTCTTTTCTTTTCATTTCTTTTCATTTCTTTTATTTTATTGCTTTCATCTTCTACAATAGTTCTTTTAGGAAGGCCTAGCTGAGGTGTACGTACACCCGAGGCCTTCCTCCCCGGCTCTGGCTAACCACAGAGCCCCAGCCGCCCCTTGGCTAGTCCATAGAGCATTCCTCAGCTGCTACAAGCAGCAGCAGCAGCAGCAGCAGCAGCAGCAGCAGCAGCAGCAGCAGCCAAATGCTGCAGCCAGCCAGCCGCAGCTATTGGCTCGCACACAGGGCCAGCTAGCTGCTGTCAGTCACCAAAGTGCAGCAGCAGGCTGCGCCGCTGCACTGCGAAGCGGGCATGCAGGGCCAGGGTTTAGGGTTTAGGGTTTAGGGTTTAGGGCTTAGGGTTTAGTGTTTAGGGTTTAGGGTTTGCAGCTGCAGCAGAACAGCCCTAACCCAGCTTCCTGCCGTGGGGCCGAAGCCACTTGTGCTGCTCTGCTGCAGGCCCTGCAGCAAAAAGTAGTTAATTTATTTCTGCTGCTGCTGCTGCTGCTGCTTCTCATTTGCTGCTGCTCCCGCTGCTCTGCTGCTCTCAGCTTGCTGCTAGCTGCTCGCAGCAAAGCAGCTGCTGCACTTTCTGCTGCTGCAGTTTGCTGCTGAGGACTCAAATAGTTGCTGCGCTGCTGCGCTGCAGAGCCTGCACTTCAGCTGTTCTCCGCTGCTGCAGCTGCCTTTTGCTGCTGCTGCTGCTGCTGCTGCTGCTTGTGAAGCTGCTGCCTTGTGCTGCTGCAGCCTCGTGCCGCTGCCGCGGCTGCTGCCCCGTGCTGCTGCTGCTGCAGCTGGCTCGTGCTGCTGCTAGCCTCTGCTGCTGCTGCTGCTGCTGCTGCCAAGGCTGCAGCACTGGGCCCACAGCCCAGGCAGCTGCGGGTGGACCAAATGGACCACTGGTCTGCTGCAGCAGCAGCACGGGGCTGGCAGCACTAGTGCTGCTGCGTGCTGCATGCAGCAGCACTTTATTGAGTTTAAATCTTTTGAAATAAAGAATTTAAAAGCAGCAAATTCTGCTGCTGCAGCAAAGCTCGCTCTCCAGCCCCTGGGGGCTCAGCAGCAGAGAGACACAGCAGCAAATTTGAATTTATTTTTCTTTTTTAATTTCAAATTAAATATTTTTTTAATTTTTTTATTCTGCTTTCCAGCAGCAGCTCCGCTGCTGCTGCGGCTGCGGGCCCGCCCCGTGGGGTGTACGTACACCGCAGCGCAGCTGCAGCCTCTCAGCAGCAGCAGCAGCAGCAGCAGCAGCAGCAGCAGCAGCAGCAGCAGCAGCATTCTGCGCGGAGTTTTGCTGCTGCAGCAATCTGCCATTTGCTGCTGTTTGTTTTATTTCTTTTTTGGGTTTGGCAGCAGGGGGATCGAGCCCCGGGCTTGGGGTGTACAGACAGCCGAGCGAAGCCCCCGGAGAAAATTTGGGAAGCTCATTTGAGGGGCAGCAGCAGCGGGAGCAGCAGCGG